TGTGGTAAACTGTGGTCAATGACATGAGACAAAGTATATGTGAACTGCTGTATGGAAAGTGAATTTGCTCTGTAAATCTTCACCCACCCAAATCACAATAATAATAATAATAATAAGCCCCCAACCTTGGGGGTCTAGCTCTGCTTCCTGCTCCCAGCCTACTGGAGCTAGAGGCATTTCTTCACTCAGACAGCTGCAGGCTGCTGAGACTGAGAAGCCCCAAGGTTGACAAGGAAGAAGGCATAGTCCCGATGTTACCAAACCACAGGCAGGCCATTAACTTAAGTCCATTGTATGTCCCCAGGTCGGCAGAGCATAGCAGGCTTCTGAGCAACGACTTGCCCACGTCCCAGCACACCATAGTCTAGAGACCATTCTCAAAGCTTCTCCTTATATACATGAAGCAGACCACATACCCTAAGGCAGCTATTCAGCTGCTCATAGTAGATTCCATCATGGAGCTGATTACCAGTCTCATCATGGGAAATACTACATCCAGCTGCCCAGCCACTCAACCAGGCCCAGCCAAGTTGACACACAAAAATAACCACCACACTCACCAAAACCAAAGACAAAGAAAGAATCCTGAAAGCAGCATGGGAAAAATGAAAAGTTACCTACAAGGGGCAGCCAGTAAGACTGAGCTTGGATTTCTTGGCAGAAACCATGCAGGTGAGAAGGCAACGGGATGGTATATATAAAACCCTGAAAGAGAAAAATTTTCAACCAAGAATTATAAACCCAGCAAAATTGTCCTTCAAACATGATGGTGAAATTAGGACATTGCCAGATAAGCAGAAATTAAGGGAATTTGTTAAAATCAGACCAACCTCACAAGAGATGCTAAAGGGAGTCCTTTGGACAGAGAACCAACAACAGCAAACAATGACTGACCATTAACACATGATAACATAACCCAGAGACCAACCCAGTTATAGAAGTATCCAAAGTAAATAAGCCTTCAAGATTGTAAACAGGGAACCAGGGACATCAATTGACAAATGAGGACAATTACAAACCAAAAAGAGGGAAAAAATTGTGTAGTTACAGAACTTCTAAATGGTAGGGAAGTCAAGACAACTGCAAGATAGAATGGACTGTTCTAAACTTAGGAAGAAAATGATAAATCACAGGGTAACCTCAAAGAAAAATGATAAGCCTTTACATCAGAATAAAAAAGAGGAACAGCACAAATATTTAGCAAATGCTAAAACAATAGCAACAAAGGAAGTGATAATATGATTCATAAACAAAACGAGCTCAGCACAGAAAATTATATGGAACAAAAACATCAACACCACAAAAAAGCACATAACAAAATGACAGCAACAAATTCACACTTGTCGATAATTGCGTATCTGACAAGGGACTTATCTCTAACATTTACAGAAAACTCCAACACCTCAACAATAAAAAGATTAACAATAGCGAAACGATGGAAACAACCTATGTGCACATCAACAGAAGAATGGGTTACCAAACTATGGTATATACACACAATGGAATGCTTAAAAAAAAGAAAGAAAGAAAGAAACTCACTGCAATTGAGTCGGTTCTGACTCATAGCGACCCCTCCTTGGGTTTCCAAGGTGGTATCACTACGGAAGTGGATTGCCCAATCTTCCTTC